GTAGCCATTGCTGCCTCTTGTCCAGGCTTTGCGACGCCTGGAGCCAAACCTGTAAAAACACATCGATTCGCGCACTTCCATGGTTTCACCCGCGAAGTCGCACGCTTATGACTGTGACGTAATGTATTATTCCCACCTGCAAATTGCTGTTGCTGCCTCTTTGGTTGACACGGCGGCAAGATTCACCATGGACATTCGTCATCATTCGTCCGTAACTCGGAAGAACTAAACTTCCTTTCATAATAGCATGACTACTTATATATATATATAATGTATGTATGTATGTATGTATGTTTCCATTATTTTTTAATTTCTGTGCATAAAACATGAGAACATAAGAGGGTATATGTACTTTGGGGATGGCTGCGGGCAGTCACGCCCGGCAGAAAGATATTTTTTACTGACTGATCTATTTTTGGGGGATCTTGGAAACTTTCCAGATCAACTGGTCTTAGGCCCACAAGCCGGAGTGGGATGAATGCGCCAACGACATCTTTTCTGCTTGAAGCCCTGAATGCTGAGATGTGAAGACTCTTTATATTTTGTGCAGAATTTTGTCGAGCATGTTGAACGCGCGTAGGGTACTAGTTCAATAATTTTTCTTGACGCGAAACCGCGAAGCCCTTGGCCTTTTGTGCGGCGACAGGGACTTCGCATGAGATGCCATCCTTGGGTGTGCATGCCTTGAAGATATGTCATGCCACCGAATCTAGATAGTACTGCGAAGGCGGAGCATGCCCTCATGGCCCACCCAAGAACACACATTGGACGCGCGCACATTCAACTTATGCAGAAACACTAATAGTCACCAACAGCAACATGATCGTGAATCACGTCCATGTGTGTTTTTTTCATTTTTTTTACCGTACTTCATGCTATATACAGTAAATAGAGATGCATGTGTGTGAGCGTGAGAATCGACACTTGTGGGCGTATGCAGGACAGACCCGGACAAACCTACATACTCCAATAAACCCACAGACACCTACACACATAGCGACGGACGTCCGTGGGCGTCCTGTGTTTACCTGTGTTTAGTGTATCCATGAATCTAGCAACCCAGAACACGGACATACACGGACACATGAAAATTACCTGGTGGTCAATGAGTCCAAATCCATGGACACCTTTTTCTGCTCTGCTGGAAAGTTGCCGGTTTTCTCTGCGAGCTCATAGAAGGGAGATGGGGACGACATGGGATGACAATGAACAGCAACTGGTCAGCTTCGCATTTTTTTTACATGTCAGGACATGTGGACCAGGCCAAACAGCTCCTGAAACCCATGCCCACCCCACATGCAACAAGATCAAGCAAGCACACATTCAATCCACTTCAATCCCGTAATGAAGTTCAGAATTGGGATGAATTTGGTACATTTTGGATCATTTTGGTGCTGGCTGTGGTTATTTGCCGCCTCAGTTGCAAATCAGTTAATTTTAGGTCCGACTACAAGTGATCGAGAGGTTTGTGCGAGCTGGTTCCAAGGCACCGCCTCAAGAAAGCAGACGGATCCCTTGACCTGTTCATGTCCTGTTTGTTTTCATTTCCTTGATACCTTTGATTCTCGCAAATGCAGAAGGTTTGGCCAGGCCTAATGCTTCTACGAAGGTCTGTGATGTGAGTGAGTGGGTTCCTGGCTAGTACGCACCCTTGTGGCTCCACTCACAGATGCTCGCACTCTCCTTCGTTTACATATGTTCGCAGCAATCAGTGTGGCAAATCTTGGGGCACCCTGATCTGAGTGTGCACTTTTTTTGCTCAGTATTTTTCCTTTGTGCATTGGGAAGTTCGCAGCACCAATGACAATTTTGATCCTTGCGACATCAAACATGATCAAACATGTGCCGATGAGTTACGCCACTACCGGTACTTACTGTAGGAGCAGAAGGGTTCGTCGATGTTTGTTTTGTGTGACGTACTCAGCAACGGTACTAGATTTTGACTTGCATGTGCGCCTGTGAGGCTACATCGATTACTGTAATGGCTACCCCGGATGAATAACCCACCCCCTGAAGGTCAACAAGGTCAACAAGTTCCAGCAGGGCGGTCAAAAACACCACCCAGAATTAATATGAATTAATCACCGTCCGTTTATTGATCATGAGTCAATTTTGCTGGAATTAGGTGCAAATCAGCACCAATGAGGTGTCAGTTCTACTGGAATTTGCTGCATAGATAGTAGAATTTCTTTAATTAGGGGTGAAAGTTGATGAAATCACTTTGGAACTATGTAATATCCGTGGAGGATCGTGGAGGGTCAAATGGGACATGTGATTTGTGTGCTACACAAATGGTAGCAACATGGTTTGGCATGAACGTGCCTATCTTTTCCATAATCATATGGGCCCAATACCCCATTTTAGGGCGCACTCGTGTGCTGGGACCCATGGGGCTGTGAGCAGTGACTACGTCTTTGCAGCCTCTGGAAAAGGCTGCCTCCGCTTTGCCAACCTGCACCTAGTGAGGCAGTTTGGGGATTCAGGTGGAACGCTATACTGAATCAACATTGGCAGCGGAGCCGGCACGACGCCGGCATCCGCCGAGCCCTTCTACAACAACTACATCCAGGATTGCCACTACAACGAGCCCACCGCTACATCCATAACTACCTTCAACCTGTCCAAGTTCGAGCTGCTGTACTTTGTCTACGCTGGTGAACTACGTGGCGAACGAGACCTACTTTGGCTTAGTGCTACATCTTAGAGAATGGCATCACCATCTTCGGCTGCAGCAGCTGGACCGAACGGAGTCGACTTTGTGAAGGACACGTACCTTCCGATCTTCAACAACCGCCCAGCGGACTACAAGGAATGGAGAAAGAGGATACTTCTTTACAAAAAGAAGTCCGAGATCAACAAGAAGACCAAAGAGGCGACCATCAATCTGATGGCAAGCCTGAGCGGCATTGCCTGGTGCTAGATCGAGCACCTGGTTGACAAAGCGAGTGAAGCAGAGGATGGATTCATGATGATCCTGAAGGAGCTGGACAAGACCTTCCAGTACGACGACCAGGTCCAGGTGGAGATGCCTCGAGCTTTCGAGAAGTTCTTCTATGATGGCCTTAGCAGGCGCGATGGTCAGACCTTGATCAACTATGTGGCCGACCACCGGGAGTACCTGATGGAAGTGGAACCCCATGGAGTGAATATCCCTGAGAAGGTGGCCGGCTGGTTGCTCCTTCGACGAGCTGGTTTGACGATGGAGCAGAAACAACTACTATAGTTCAAGGACGTGCCAAAGAACTTGACCATCTGGTGCCACCAAAGCCTTGTACTTCCTCTTCGGCCAGGACTATAAGGGGAAGTCTCACGAAGGACGCAACTGGCGAGGAAAGGAACCTCCTCGAGATAGGGAAGACAACACCAAGGCTACACCATGGAAGAGACCTACGAGGTTGCTGATGACGAAGCTCTGGAGGAGATCTATGACTACGACCATCAGGACTGGGAAGATGATGGAGGAGGAGAAGACGATGGTGAGGCTGAAACCGATGAGGCCTACTACAACGAAGCCGCCAATGAAGAGCCGATCGATGAGTTCTTCTGGGAGGCCGAGCAGCAGTATGAGGAAGACTATGCCACGTACTTGGATGCCCGAAGACAGATGGCCCACCTGAAGGCTTCGAGAGGATTCTACCCGGTCGTGGCTTTGACCGGCGGAGGACAGGCTGCTTCTTCGAAGTGCCTCAAGTGTGGTCAGCCTGGCCACTGGGCGGCGAGCTGCCCACAGAACACAGCCCGGTCGAGCCCTATACTTCCCGGCAGAGCCCTTCTTCCGCTACTTCGACATCACCTTCAAAGAAGTCTCGAACTGATGGGGCCGCGATCATATTCCGAGACATGGCCAAGATCAACAACCGTGGACTGCCACCGCTAGGCCAACATGGATGGTATGGGATCCAAGACGGAGGAGCCTCCTCAGTCGTTGTGGGCCACATCACCTTGATGCATGTGGTGGGCTACATGAAGTACCGCGGCGTTTCGCCCGACAGGTTTCTCTTCATGCCCGCCAACAAGACCTTCAGCTTTGGAGGCGATGCATCTCGACAGGCAGACTGGTCTGTCCGATTTCCGGTCTACATCAACGGCAAGAGCGGCTACATGGAATGCTTCGTGGTGGATGGCTCAACGCCATTGCTGGTGGGAAGGCCGATTCTCCAGGCCCTGAACGTCGAGATGAACTTCAAGGACCGCGAGATGTCGATCAAGGACAGCCCTTGGTTTGATGTCCGTTGAGAGAGAAAAGTGAATACCTTCTGCAGTTAGATGACGGAGTTGAAAATGATCCTGAAGGAAACTACATCGACTTCGACTACATCACTGATGAATCCATGGCGGCCATCGACAACTACGAGGACCTCTCCAACTACATCGACATCCATGAGTATCTGGCGACCACCAATCGACTACCTCCAGAACATGCCCTACGTGCCGATGAGGAGAGCTATGAGACTGCCTCAGAGGAGATCCGGATCCCTGAGAATGACCTATCCGATGATGACCCCACGGCAGTTCGGAAGAACCTCACCGACAAGCTGTTCAAGACCATGCACATGAGCTTCAACCAGTTCAGCAAGAACCGCAGACATGTGGTGCAGAGTGCCCTTCTAGCACACCAACAAGGCCGAAAGATCTTCTGGGAAGTTTTCAGCGGCAGTGCAAACCTCTCCCATCAAATGTCCCAAGAAGGTTGGCTGGTCGAATGTTTTGACCTTGACACGGGCTGGAACTTTGAACGCGCAGATCATGGACGTGAATTCCTTCACTGGCTGGATGTGACCTGCCCTGACTTTGTGTGGTTCGCCCCACCTTGCAAGGTTTGGTCCCCTCTCCAACAGTTGAACGTGGACACGGTCGAACGACAAGAAGCCCTACAAGCCGACCGAGACTACCAGGAGGTGACCTTCCTCAAGCTGGTCAAGCGTGGCTACCAGAAACAACAACGAGAAGGACGACACGCTGCAGTGGAGCAGCCAAAGAATGCCCGGTCTTGGGTAACACCAACCTTCATTGCCATGGAAGGTTTTCACTCGATCTTTCATCAATGTCAGTACGGGGTGACCTTGCCTGACGAGAATTACGAGGAGCAGTATGTCAAGAAGCCCACCAAGCTGCGATGCACAGATGAAACTATGGCACTTGATCTTGCTCGCACCTGCCAAGGTGAACATTGGCTTCTTCCCGTGGAAGGCAGCTCACCCGGCATTGGAGTGAGATCTGCAGCCTCCGGAATCTACCAGGCCGACTACAGCTTCTACCTCGCCATCGAGCAGATCTTTGCCTACAAGGGCCAGGACGCCATCTATGTGGCTGATGATGAGGCCGAGGTGAAGGAGGAGTTCAAACTTGAGGAGTTTGACGAGGAGAAGAGCGAAGCCCTGGAACCGGAGTCCCCAGATGAACCTCCAGCTGCACCGCTGGAGGCTTAACTCGACCACGAGATGAAGACATGCAGAAGGCCCGGAGGACGATCACACGTCTTCACAGAAACTTGGGGCACCCTTCAAAAAAGGAATTGGTCTGCCTCCTAGAGAACAAGAATGCTTCAAGTGCTGTACTCACTGCTGCCCGGGAGCATGGGTGTCAACTTTTTGAACTGCATCGTCGACCAACAGGTGTCCCAGTGTCGAGTATGCCAAGGACCATCGAGTCCAAGCTGACACTCTTTGGATTTCAAGTTCCTGGCCAAAAGCACCAACAACCAGTGCTCATGATTTCTGACAGCACCACCCGACTTCTGGACGATTTCTTCGTGGTGGTGAACGCACTGATGAGTTCATCAAGCAGTTGGAAAGAGCCTGGATACGACACTTCGGGCCGATGCAAGTTCTACAAGTTGATGAGCACCGAGCATGGAGCTCAGATCCAATGAGGGAGTGGTGCACTGAGCAAGGAATCCAGCTACAAGTTAGCCCCGGACAGGCGCATACACGCCTGGCAATCCTTGAGCGACGTCACCAAGTCACTCGACGTGCAGTGACCCTGTTCCTTCAGGCGAATCCCAGCTTGGCCGAGGACCCTGATGCTCGGCTACACGCCGCACGTCCCTGGTCTCCTGATGGAGGAGCAGACTGGCTACAACCCGGCCCATCTGGACCCTTCGACGCAGTTCCTCGAGAAGGTACGACTACAACAAGAAGCAGCAAAGGCAACAGCCCAAGCTGATGGCGACCGCCTGAGGAGAGCACTGCTGAGGAAGTTCATGGGCCAACAGAGCCTGCTCAGTGCTGGTGACCTCTGCTACTACTGGCGCGATGCATCAGCGGGCTCAACAGCAAAACTACGTTGGAGAGGACCGGCCACGGTGATCATGAGAGAGCCTGGACCGGCAGGTTTCCACTCCACCTGTCTAAAGCATTGCGCCTGCCACGAAAAATTGATGCCAGGTCATATGAAGTGCTGCACCTGTCACGCAAAATCATCGTCCCAAAGCTGAAATAAACTGAAGACCTGATGCTCCAAAATGCAACCCTTCTCAGGAAATCAGCAGCCTCACCTCCTAACATCTCTGATGGACATGTCTCTTGTACTGTGCCTGCCACGCGAAATGCATCTTTGCAGATCCTCTGCAAATGTCCCACGCCTGCCATCGTTTTTGGAAATGCTACAAAACCCTCACATACCCTCACGTTTTTCTCACTTTTGGCAAGGTGCCCTTGCGCCCGCCACGCAAAACCACATCTGAACTTTCAAAAGTGGTCCGGGCATGTGGTGCTTTTAACATTTTGACTTGGACATGTGCTTCGCGCCACAACGGCGTATACTTTTTCGAGATCTCAACTTCCAAAAGTAGTCCGAACCTGGTGTGTTTTGTGGGTGTGTTTTGTGCATTTTGACTTGGCGATGTGCTTCGCGCCACAACGGCGTGCACTTTTTCGACATCTCAACTTCCAAAAGTGGCTCGACGTTGGTGTGTTTTGTACGCTTTGCTTGCGAAACATGCTTCGCGCCACAACGGCGTGCACTTCCCACATCTCAACTTCCAAAAGTGGTCCGACCCTGGTGTGTTTTGTACATTATGACTTGGAAATGTGCTTCGCGCCACAACGGCGTACAACATTTCATCTCTTATCTGGCCAGATGGCTCCGCACCCGCCGCTTTAGCGAGCCTACTTTTCGCGCACCTGCATCTTCTTTCTTCTGACTCTTTCTCTTCTCTGCTCTTCTCTCTTCTGCTCTTCTCTTCTCTGACTCTTCTCACCTCTGCTTTTCCATCTTGTCGGAAGTTTGACTTCTAAACTTCCTTCGGTTAGGATGTATTAGGGGGAAGCTTTGCTCCCTAATATCAAACACCCCTTAATACTTTTCGACCCTCTGGAGCTACAAATTATTGGAAAAACACAATTTCGCGACTTTCCTACTTTTTCTCGCACCTGCACTGCATATATTTCTTCTCTTTTCTTTTCTCTTCTGCTCTTCTCCTCTCTGACTCTTCCCACCTCTGCTTTTCCATCTGTCCATATTGTTGGAAGTTTCACTTCTAAACTTCCTTCGGGATCTTCGGGTATTAAGAGATAGTAATAGTAGGAGATAGTAGTAGCAGCAGTAGTAGTACTAGTCGTCGTCGTCGTCGTCGGCGTTTTAGTAGGAGCAGTAGAAGTAGCAATCCATGTTGTGGTAGCCGCACTAGTGATATAAGTAGATACATTGGTGGACCGTGTAAGTGAGTGAAATGTGCCATGTGCAAGTGAGGGCTGCACCTGTTTAATTGGATGGGTTTACTAATCTTACCTTCGTGATTAGGTGGGGGTTGGGGCATGGGTGGGGGCGGGACGGGTGAGGCAGTAGCGTCCATCAGGACACATGTTGGACGCTACTTGTACGCTGTAGAATCTTTTCTTGCACTCGCACATGTAACTGACGCTACGCTAAAACATCTTTGCTTGCACTTCCACAGGCACTTGATGCTACGCTATAAGAAGATCCCTGTTCGAATTTCCGTACAGAACGGGTCCTTAAGGCCACTACAAAAATGGGTTTTTATAGGTCATTTTGTAGTGAGGCCACCTTGTAAAAAGGTCCAGGGCCCACTTCAACTTTGACAGACCATGGGATTTTCTCGAGAAAATACCGGGGCCCATGGATAAAGATGGAAATGAGTTTCAAAAAGGGAATTTCCAAGGCCAGGCACTTTGTAATGAAATTATCGGTCCCATGGAGGAGTCTTTAAAATTGGAACCCTGCATTTTGTAGTGGATCCACTGGGTTTCTGGAAAACATGTTACATGTTGTGAATTTGCTAAGGTATTCCACGTGTAATTCAAATTTTGAAATGCCGACAGACCCAAATATCGCCTGATTTGCCTGGTTTTTGTTTCTCTTTCTCTCTCTCTCTCTTCTCACTCTTTTGTGTGTGGCGAGTATATGTTTTAAACAAGTATGTTTGACTGTTTGTTGTACCTACAACATGACAGGTCTTCTGCCAGAACGTCTGCAACATGGACCGGCGTGTTGATTTTTATCTTCTTTAGGAACGATCGCAACAATTTATAGTGAAATTGTTTTCTTCCATGTCATGCCCCTACAAAATGACATGTCCCTTTCGAAACCCCTACAAAATGGGTTGCTGTTCCTATTTTCTTGCTTCACATCAAAAGGTCATGTGGTTTTAAAATTACTCCCTTCCATCTGTTTTTTTTGGTGCATTTCGGGATGATACAAAATGATACAAAATGGGTATCTTGAAATTGATCACAAGTCGGCTTTGGATTTTTTAGACTGCTCAGGGCCCATCAGGGCCCATTTTTTGTCTACAAATTTGGTCCTGATAAAAACAACCTTTGAAAACAATCTTGATTAAAAAATCAGAATCAAAACCCCGTTTTGACGTCTTTTCGGTACTCATTTTGTAATGAAGGGACCTACCCATTTTGTAGACTCAGGCGCGGCATTTTGTAGAGAAATACCGGGGCCACTACTAAATGGGCGGCTCCAACCCCACCCCCCTAATTCGCAAGGGGATATAAGAAGAAGGTTGAACATGGAGAGGGTATATGGGGCTAAGTCTACAAACTGTTACGGCAGTTACAGACTTGTGTGCAGACAACGACAGCGGCAACAACAACAACAACAACAACAACGTCGTCAACCAGAGACACCTGAGGGTGGAAACATATAAGATCACATAAGTGTTTTGCAATCTTGCATTTCAGCGTGGCTGGCACGGATACTGCTCAAAGATTGGTAGTTATATGTAATTATCACGTTTTGACGCCTGATTGACGAAAATAACAGTACTGAGAAGGCAATGTTGCCTTGTTCGTTATGGGGCAGGTGTTGATGCGTGTCCGAGCCCAACAGAGATGCAGTATGCTGTGGGAGGCATTTTGGAGCGCTTTTCGATTCCTGAGCGCTCAGTATTTGTCCACTGGGCGCAGGCGATTGCTGAAGCAGGAGTAGTTGACAGAAAAGGTTGCCAGGCCAATGAAAGGGTTTGAAGATGTTTGCAGTGTAGCAAATACGCAATATTCCTAGATTCCCGACTTCTCTCCAAATCTCTTTGGGTCAGGCATTTTAGACGGTGACATCGAATTCCAGCGCTCCGGAATGAAATTCTGTCCCTGTATCTTTTGCATTCTTATGCTATCTGTGCAAGAAAACAAAGAGAGGGAGAGAAAGACGCAGCAAGAGGGAAAGCGAGAGCCAACGAGAGCGCCAGATGAACAATTTGTGCCAGGCTTGGGTTGAAGCCGAGAACAAGGTCTTTTGCCACGGATTCTCACTGTATTATAGTTCGTTGCCCTGCTCAACACCTTGCTGTTTCCATTGATTTTCATGTTGGCTTTGCTCGCTGGAGGGAACTTGAATCATCAAAACCCAATGTCTAGAATCTAGAACAGCGAATTCCTTGGGCTTTGCTTGTCAGGCGGCTGCTTCGGGAACCTTGGTTAAGGCTGAGAAGGTCCAGCAGAAGTCAGAGGTCAAAGGACAGAAGCAACCACCAGATTACACATTTCAAGTGGCTGATTTTTCCAGTCACTTGACGTCGCCTTTCGGCTGCGAGGAACCGATGATGAAACTGATGGTGACCTTTTGGCAGCCAGACGCTCAGAAGGTGAATATATGTGAAGGAGCGGGGTTGCAGGATGCTTCTTAATCTTTCCATGTCTGAGTCTAGTAGAAATATCGCTGTGAAGTTGGGCATATTTAGGGGCTGTCTAGACGGCCTCAAGATTCATCAAGATTTTAAAGCTGTTGGCACGCTTGCTGTATATTCAAATTCCGGAACAACAGCTTGCTACACAACCGGAACATTACTTCCATCGTTTTAGCGGGCTTCCGGCTTCAGTTCTCAAAATATCCGATGAGACGCACTTGAACTAAGGCCCAGGATGACCCAGGGTCACGCAAGCAACGAAAACCTTTCCCAACATTGCTGTAGGCGAGCTAAGACAAAAAATATATATATTTTTTTTAAATATATATGATATTATATTTCCGATTTTATGATCAAACTAGACCAAGAGATTTTGTTCTTCACAGCAGAACCAGGAACCGGTGTCACAGTGCAAAAAGGTGAAAGTGAACAAATAATCTGTTAGCCGGTGAGCTGTTTAAGGAACAAACAACAAGCCAATCAACATAACGTTCACCCTGACCCGACTCAAGATGTGCATTCGGTGATGAAAATTCAGTGACGAAAGTCGGTGACGAAAGTTCAGTGAGATCTTCTATTGCTGGGCACGTATGATGCTAGTTTCGGCACAGTGATCATTAGGCAAAGATGCTTTGCCTATTGAGTGCATTTGTGATTAATTACAAAGTTTTCGTGCTCCCGGTTGGTGTAGTCATGCTCTTCATTGCGTCCTAGCATCCCAAAAGCATCTTTGAAGATTGTACGCGAAGGCGGGTGCTAGCTGTGTGAAAGGTGTTGAGAATTTAAATTAATCCCAATAGCAAAGTTTCGCGTTTCCTTTCACGCCAATTTGGTATTGAGAGGTGAGCCAGCTTAGTCAAGAAAACACCATTCCTTCAATGCCCCCAAGACACCACCAGAAAACACAAAATCAAGAGACAAGTGAACCACCATCGAGACACCATCGAGACACCACTGGGGCCGAGACACCGTCCAGGCCGGCAGCCGCGAACCCGACAGCGCCCGTCCGCCTTTAGAGTTAACACATTCTTAATTCGTTTCTCCTCAGCCGGTTACCTCTCTACTTTTTTTCATAATTTTCACAATTTCAAGGGCTAAGGTTCTGTGCACAGACTTCTGCAGTCTGCACGGTAAAAAATGATCAAACTAGCTCCAACCTTCAGGTCCTTTGGGTATAAGTGTTCTTCAAGTTTCAGGAACGTTGCTCACAGTCCTTGGCATCAAGCTTTGAAAGTGCTGCGCTACAGGGACAGCATTCAGCCAAGATGGGCCTCACCAAATCCCCCCCAAGGGCCCAACAGACCAAGAAGCAGAGATACGATATCTCTTTCGGATTTTTTGCTGTGCTCTTGCAAGCTATGATGGCGTCATGCTGCCACCAAGGTTCACATCCCAAAGGATTTTGTCCTTCCACTGCAAACTCCAACAAGAACGCTTGCAGCCTCAGAGATTTGGCCAGCCACGTCAACGGCAGATTTGAACCTGAAATTTGAACCAGCGCGGCAAGACAGATAGAAATTCTTCTTACGCTTCATTGCAAGGTTGGGCTTCTCTGCGGAGGAAAGGCAACGTGTCGAGGTGCTTGATTTAAAATTTAAAGCGTGACCACATCAGCAATGCAAAAAGGCGTGAGGCAATTCTGAACAACCCGAAGTGATCAAGAGAACAAAGGAGAACCGGATTCTGATGAGTCTATTGCAACAGTTGGGGGTGCTATGGACAAGCGGAAAGATGCAAGGAGCTCAACTTGATCCTCTCGTGTTATGGATGGATACATGGATGGATTAGATAGACAAGGTTGGGTTGTGTTAAAGTTCATGTCGGATCAGATTCGATGATATTGGTTAGTTAGATTAAATAAGTTAGATCAGATAAGATTAGGTTAAATAATATCTATTTATTTGGTATATGTAGTATACAGTATACTACTGAACCTAGGCTACCTAGCTATCGATTTAAACACCTCGGGGTAACTTTACTATCCTTTTGGGATTCAGGAAGCTGCAAGCCATGACCCATCAACCATAGGTCGTGCAATTCAGCACATCAACGGTGATATGTTTCTGTCTCCCGCGTAAAGATCTACTGAATCTATTGAAAATTATTGAGCAGGTTGATCACTGGGACAACTTCGAGGAGTTCTTGCCACATGATCCTCCTGCACCACTGGACCACAAGGCTCCAAGCTCAGCTAGCCTGGTACAATTTAGAGAGTGCTGTGCCTGGAGTGCTGTACAAATTTTGGATCACGACGTTGAGGTCCTGAACTACCCACTACACGATGTTCCGCCACCTTCAGCGTGCCGATGTCACACTAGTAGGAAACCTTGAAAGAATACCCAGCGACTCATGGCAACTCAGACACAAATAATTTTATAGTATAATTTGATTACATATGGTTACTATAGACTAAACTTTGAACAAGTTTTCAGACACGGTAATGACACGTATATAATTAATAACAGACTGCTATAGACTGCTGCTCACAAGATTACAGCGGCGGAAGGAGTTATGGTAGTTGTGGCAATGTTTGCCATGCCTGGCTTCAAAGGCTTCTAAGGATTTCTGAAGTATCCTCCGTTCAATTTTTGCGACTTCTCGGAATTAAGGGGGCCAACCCAAACTTCTGGGTGAATCCATGGCGCTTCAGATGCCCTTGCTCTCCCCTTGTTCTTCTTTTTTTGGGGGGAAGGTCGGAGGTCAAGTACAGTGCTTGGAACTGGTTTGGCTTGTAAGCATGTTCCCCCTCTACAGTATGGGCTAGCGGATATAACCCTTTCTGGCTAATACTACCCCCCCAAATCATAAACACCGGAGGAGTTTTCAGTATTAAGGGGTGTTTGATATTCAGAAAGAGAACATATTTCATAAATTGGTACCTGTTTAGAATGCACATGTCCAAAAGAATTACTGCATATGTTGAGGGAAACTCCTGTAGAGATGTAGAGTCTATACATGTTTAAAGCAATGCTGCACTCTTTGGAAAGGCACTTACACTTGTTTGTTTTGTTGTTTTTATCTATTATTCAATTATTCATGTTTGCTTTGGCTAAAACTATGTATCTATGTAGGACATTGGGAGAGCTGTTGAGAATGCACAGTGGTTGTTTTTGTTACAGAAGCAACAATGTTTGGTTCTGGAAAGAACAGGGTTTGGTATCTTTTGCAGAAATGAAATGTCAAAAATGCAAACATTTTGGCGCTCACAACACCCCCCTCCCCAGAAATATTAGGGCGCAAAGCTTCCCCCTAATACATCCTAATACATCCTAACCGAAGGAAGTTTAGAAGTCAAACTTCCGACAATATGGAAAAGCAGAGGTGAGAAGAGTCAGAGAAGAGAAGAGCAGAAGAGAGAAGAGCAGAGAAGAGAAAGAGTCAGAAGAAAGAAGATGCAGGTGCGCGAAAAGTAGGCTCGCTAAAGCGGCGGGTGCGGAGCCATCTGGCCAGATAAGAGATGAAAAGTTGTACGCCGTTGTGGCGCGACGCACATTTCCAAGTCAAAATGTACAAAACACACCAGGGTCGGACCACTTTTGGAAGTTGAGATGTGGAAAAAGTGCACGCCGTTGTGGCGCGAAGCATGTTTCCAAGTCAAAACGTACAAAACACCTCAGGGATCCACAGTGTCGGAGCACATTTGGAAGTTGTGATGTCGAAAAAGTGCACGCAGTTGTGGCGCGAAGCACATTTCCAAGTCGAAGTCAAAAGTGGAAAAGACTGAGTGGTTCGGCTCGGAGCACTTTTGGACGTTCGGATGTCGTTTTGCATGGCAGGCGCAAGGGATTCTGCACCTTGCCAGAAGTGAGCAAAACGTGAGGGTTTTGTAGCAGTTTCAACTACAACCACCACTACGCTACGTTACACTACACTCCACTACAACTACAACTACCACTACCATTGCACTACACTACGCTAATTACATTACACTACACTCCACTACGCTACACTACACTAGCCTACCCTACACTACACTAGCCTACCCTACACTCAATTACACTACGCTACACGACATTAATCAATTACAACTTCAACTACAATTACAACTACAACTACAATACATTTCACTAGGCTACGCTACACTACGCTACACTAATTACATTACACTACGCTACGCCACACCACACCACACTACACTGCACTAACTACAGCTACAGCTACAACTACGCTACTTTACACTAGGCTACACTAACACTACCCTACAATACATTACACTACACTCACTACACCACCACAAATGCAACTGCAACTACACTACACTAATTACACTACACCACAGTTGCAGCTCCACTGCACTAACTACAACTACAGCTGCACTACACCACGCTACATCCAGCAGTTGTGTGTGAGGTGACCGACCAGGTGACCACTGCAACCATTGCATCCATTCCAAAAAACACAACTCCAACCACCTTTGTGTCCATCAGTGGATTCGCTCTGCCATCCATGATTCACAACAACCAACCTCTCCTATAGGTTTCCTATTTTTGAAACTTCCGCCCCGCCTTGTGCGGTACTACTGGTACTACATTTAAAACCTTAGCATGCCTTAGCTAAGTTTTTCGATTTCCAAATCGATTAACTTCTTTTTAAAACCTTTCGATTAACATGTTGCCAAAAATTTGATTTCGAAGTCTCCCCTAGTTTCAATCTCTTGAAAAGATGTTCTTTCGATTAATATTGAAAATATAAAAGTAGAGCCCGGGCGAGCCGGGTGACGGAAGTTTCGAGAAAGGGAAGAACCTATAAGGGAGAGCCTATAGGAATAGCGCCCCTGGCTGGCACGGCCGTCGACTGCGTGATCGCTTGGAAGTCTTTGTCCTTGACATTTCTTGCTCTCGACATCTTTGTTTGATGCTGCCACTTTCTCTTGATCCGGCTTGCTCCTGACATTTCTGAATCTTGACGGCCCTTCTTGTCGACGGCGCTGGGGCTAGAGACTTGACACACCCCTCTCTCCTGACAAGCTTTGCTGATGTCATCGCTGTCTCTTGAAACCGATGTCGTTTCAGCCGCTTTCCGTTGACGTCTCTTTCTCTTGGCATCCCTGTCTTTGGGCATCTCTTTTTCTTGAGACTTGAGACCTTCTCTTGACATTCTCTTCTCTCCACATCTCATTCTCTTGACACGGTTTTCGCTTGGCACCATTTTTCTTGTTTCCTGTATTCTCCTGTCGTTTCGCACTTTTATTTGATAACTCTTTCTGTTAAAATTGTTTCCTTTAACACCTTCTGTCTTGACATCTCCTTTGTCTTGAGGCCATTTTTCATTCTCACATCTCTTTCTTTTGATATTTTCGTACCTTGCGAACTGTGTACTGCTAGACTTGCACAAAGCCCTTCCTGTACCACAGAACGTGCCCAAAGTATTTTCTAGTACTACTTTGTACTACAGAGCTTGCACAAAGTACTTCCCAGTACGACTTCGTACTACAAAGCTTGCACGAAGTACTTCCCAGTACTACTTCGTGCTACAAAGCTTGCACAAAGTACTTCCCAGTACTACTTCGTACCACAAAGCTCGCAAAACACTTCCCAGTACTACTTCGTACTACAAAGCTTGCACAAAGCACTTCCCAGTACTACTCCGTTGTACACAGCTTTTACAAAGTACTTACCAGTACTACTTCGTACTACAAAGCTTGCACAAAGTACTTCCCAGTACTACTTTGTACTACAAAACTTGCACTAAGTACTTCCCAGTACTACTTCGTACCACAAAGCTCGCAAAACACTTCCCAGTACTACTTCGTACTACAAAGCTTGCACAAAGTACTTCCCAGTACTACTTCGCACTACAAAGCTCGCAAAAATCGCTTCGCAATACTACTTCGTACTACAAAACTCGCCAAAAGCAATTCCCTGTACTAATTTTGTACTACAAAGCTTGCACAACGTACTTCTCAGTACTACTTCATACTACAAAGCTTGCACAAAGTACTTCCCAGTACTACTTCGTACTACAAACCTTACAAAACTAGACGATGGTTGGCCCGAGAGCGAAAAAGACGTTTTTCAAGCAGCTCTGAGTATGGTAGTTGTAAAAAATAGTCGGTGAATGGTTGGTGAATTTCATATGAGCTATGGAGGGATAAGTTGTGAAAAGTAAGATTGATTAAGAAGAGGAACATTGTGACAACCCATGCATATGCACTGTGCTGCTTGGTAAAGGGCATCATATGACACATATCTTGCAACCACAGAGAGACATAGATAGAGAGAAAGGGAGAGAGAGAGAGAGCGCGAGAGAGAGAGAGAGAGAGGGAGACAGAGAAAGAGGGAGAGAGAGAGAGAGAGAGCAGGGTCTTCTGTTGTTAGTATTGAGACACTATATTATTATATTACGAGACAATTTATTAAAGATGTACTATAGGCAGACGAGGCAAGTAGTATCAAGACAATATATTACAAGTACAAAACGCTAGTTTGCATCGTATCCTTCGTATTGTTTTTCACACACAGTTCACACACAGAACCTTTTACACACAGACGCTTTTGCACAGAAGCTGTTACACACAGACGCATTTACGCACAGACGCTTTTACACACAGAAGCGTTTACACACAGACGCTTTTACACACAGAAGCGTTTACACAGAGAGGTTTTACACACAGACACTAGACACTTTTACACACATAGGCTTTTACACACAGACGCTAGACACTTTTACACACATAGGCTTTACACACAGACGCCTTTACACACAGACACTTTTACACGCAGATGCTTTTACACACACGCACACGCTTTCACACACAAACGTTTTTTCACACAGACACTTTTACACACAGAAGCTTTTACACACAGACGCTTTTACACACAGACGCTTTTACACACAGACACTTTTACCCACAGAAGCTTTTACACACACACACACGCTTTTCTTTTACACACACACTTTCACACACAGAGGCTTTTACACACAGACGCTTTCACAGAGACTTTTACACGCGGACGCTTTTACACACAGAAGCTTTTACACAGAGACTCCTTTACACACAGACGCTCTTACACACAGAAGCTTGTACACACAGACGCTTACACAGAGACTTTTACACACAGACGCTTTTACACACAAACACTTTTACACACAAACACTTTCACACACAGAGGCTTTTTACACACAGACGCTTTTACACACAGACGCTTTTACACAAACACTTTCACACACAGAGGCTTTTACACACAGGAACTTTCACACACACAGAAGCTTTTACACACAGACGCTTTTACACACAGACGCTTTTACACACAAACACTTTTCACGCACAGAGGCTTTTACACACAAGCTTTCACACACAGACGCTTTAAACCAATGAAAATCAAGGAAATCCAAAGAAAAGAATATGAATGGATATGACAGGTCTTTTGACTAGCCTCCCTATACTAAATGGAAAACCACAGCCCAAAGAACTCCAGACTAGGAAAAACATAGAAAAACATTGAAAACAATGACGCGAGCCAAATGTTTTCAGCTTGACCCAAAAGGATCCAAGAGGATCCAAATGAACCACAGTCTACAACAGTTGTTTATGGATTCCTATGGGTATCTTTGGGTACTAACTAACCAGTTAATTCCACAAAAGGCTATGCAAAACCATTCTGTAGTGATGGTGATGGGGTCTGTAATCTTTTCCGCTCTTATCACACCCCCCCAGACGGGGCTGCTCATGGTAAGGAAGTCTGCGGCCCAAGGGAAACCGCTCATCAAGCGACCAATCCTCATCATGCATGATTCACCCAATTGATCCATAAATATAAATAGGGCTAAATCCTTGTTTTCTCTACTAAATGGACCCCGTGCATTTCTCTACTAAATGGCTTTGGGGTTTTGGTCGAGTCATGTTTGGCCCCCAACTTGCGGTCAAATGAGTACCTCTACTAAATGGAACAGGGTGTTTGGTCGAGTCATGGTGGTGTCTTAAGACATTCTGAAAATATATCCAAATTTCGTACTTCAGCTGAACCAGGGGCCCACATTTAGTAGTGAAATTCGATCATGCATGCACATCCATTTAGTAGAGCTTGAGGCTATGCAAACCGTTTCTTCACTACAAAATGGTTGCGCAACCCCATCCCCTTAATTCACAGGGGGTTGAAAATTCCACATGTTTTGTTGCATTTCAGCCTGTCGTTCAGCATCGAAAATCTGACCCATAATAGAAGCTAACTGATCAGCCGTAGTAGCTTCTATGCGATATTGTCCAAGTCGTCCAACAATGTTCAGCGAAACTCCCGATGTTTTTGGAACCGATGATGATCCCCTCTCTTGAGTATTCTGAACATTTGCAACAGGATGACGAGAAGGAGGAGGAGGCAAAAGTGTAGATTGAACTGGGATCTGTCCAGTAGAAAAGGCTTCAGAGGATGGCAGGGGTGGACCACGACTCTTAGGAAACATGGCTCGAATCCCCAAAACTATCAAAAAGGTGGTTCAAAACAGTGACAATGCCATTGAGACTCCGACCAAATAAAGGTTCGCTGCGCTCGTAGTGTTGGTAACTTCGACTTATGTCTTCTTTGTCCGAATTGGACGAACTTCTGCCTTATGGCTTCTTCGCCTTATGGCTGCTTCGATTTGATTTTACTGTGTAAAATCTTGACTTCTTCATATGACACTTGAAATGCACTCTGAGTGCATACGGCTTCGGAGGTTCATTCTCCACTCTGAATACGGGAAAATGCCCGCTCATGACTTTCTGATTGGTCGAAACCAACCGACGGTGCGACCAAGTCAGGTCCAACACCCATGACACACTGTGGGGTAATGGTTAGTGGAAATTGTGAATGATGTCACCGTCGTCGCCTGATGTCCTGAGTTACCTGTCATCGCAAGCAGGTTGAGAACGTCACATTCGAAGCGGTGACTTCTGGAAAAATCAAAATTTCAAATTTCAAACTGTCGAAAAGTACCTAAACAGCCTGAATAGAACAGCTTGTTCAACAGTTCAATACATTTCAATCGAAGGCAGGTACGTCACGGTGATCAGCCGTGATATCCGCATGTACTGTGGCCGCTTCGTTGCACCATCGCACACAGCACATGGATGGTCCCCCTGCTTCATTGAAACATGATCGATTCATCAAAACTAAACCGTTTGCTATAACGGTATACGCACACACACAGACGCGCACACACACACACAGACGCGCACACACACACAGACACACACACACACAGAGGCACACACACACACAGAGACACACACACACAGAGACACACACACACAGACACAGACAGGCAGACACAGACAGACACAGACAGACACAGACAGGCACAGACAGACACAGACAGACGGACAGACAGACAGACACATGCATACATACATGAATGCATGCATACATACATACATGCATTCATACATTGGAACAGGCGTGCAAAGAAAATAAGAACCAGGGCCAAGGGACCGGCGTCTGAAAATTGAAGCAATTATTTGCCATATTTGCAAGGAATTTTCTGGATAGAGCTCCTGGACGCGCAGGTACATGAAGCCGAACCTTGAAAGGTCTCGTTTAACCGCAGCATTAGAGGACTAGAGGGGCAGCGTGCCGTGATAGACTGCAAAGTGACTGCGACTGCTGCTGCGCCTTGTTGTGGCTGTTTTCTGGCATTGTTTATATGTTTGCACGGAGATGTATGGGATTGTATTGGACAATCTGTTCGATTTATTGACCTGGGGTGACTGAGAATTTGGGATCATTTTTCGGGCCGTTGCTTGCCGTAATTAGCGGCAGGTGACTGTAGAGGGTGGGTGACCTGCATCGACAAGCTGTTGTTTCCCTTGCAGCCACATGCGCGCACGTTTGAAGATTGTGATTTCTCCTCACCTGTACCACAGGAGCATCTTATTTGCGGTGAGTGCGGCGATGCTTTGGATGGAGCAGAATTGCCTGTAGACATGCCCGTCGCCACCTCAGTTTTGAGAACCCGCGATGAAAGGACTATTTCACTTTTGCTCTGAAAATGTCGAGGTTGCTTTGGTTCGAAGTGATTTGAGCATATTTACATATGTTTGAACAGTTTGCCAAGAGATGTTTGCGCTTGGTTTTTTCTTTTCGTGCTTTCTTCAGATAGTTTGAGCATGTCCATCGAAGAATTCTTCAGCAGTGCAGCGCTTTGGCCTTTGGCCCTCTTTAGGTCCTCCGGTCCTGTAGTCTCTGGTCCTCCGTCCTTTGGTCCTCCTCATCCCCGGCCTCATGTTTTAGTCACATGCCTGGCTCTCCAAACCTGATGCCTCCACAGCACATGTTGCATGTTGCCAGAAAACCTGGAAGAGAGAGAGAGAGAGAAATGGATGTGTGTATATATATATATGTGTGTGTGTGTTGTTAACCTGTGTATATATATATATAAAATTATTCCCCACCTGCCAGGTGAGGGTGTTAGATTTTATGGTCAGTTGCCTCCTCCTCTCCTCCTTTCTCTGCGCCTACCTCCCTCCTGCTCCTTTCCTCCTCCCCCCCGCCTCCTCCTGCCTCGTTCCACTCCTCCTCGTCCTCCTTGTTCATCCTCGTCGTCCTTGCTCAACTGCGACCCGCGATCCACAGTGTTCTCTGCCGGACCTCAACCACGACCACCCACGCCCAGTGTTCCCTGCCGGACCTCAACCACGACCATCCACGCCCAGTGTTCCCTGCCCGACCTCAACCACGACCATCCGCGCCCAGTGTTCCCTGCCGGACCTCAACCACGACCATCCGCGCCCAGTGTTCCCTGCCGGACCTCAACCGCGACCATCCGCGCCCAGTGTTTCCTGCCGGACCTCAACCGCGAGTATCCACGCCAAGTGTTCCCTGCCGGACCTCATGTAGGAAGATATGGGACAAAGAATGTGCAGAAGAAAATTAGAAAGAATGTCAGAAAGAATGTCAGAAGATATGCCAGAAGATATGCCAGAAGATATGCCAGATAGAATGCCAGATAATATGCCAGAAGATATGCCAGATAGAATGCCAGATAGAATGCCAGAAGATTTGCCAGATAGAATGCCAGAAAATATGCCAGAAGATATGCCAGATAGATATGCCAGAAGATATGCCAGAAGATATGCCAGAAGATATGTCAGAATATATGCCAGGAGATATGTCAGATAGAATGCCAGAAGATATGTCAGAATATATGCCAGAAGATATGCCAGATAGAATGCCAGATTGAATGCCAGAAGATATGTCAGATAGAATGCCAGAAGATATGCCAGATAGAATGCCAGAAGATTTGCCAGATAGAATGCCAGAAGATATGCCAGAAGATATGCCAGATCATATGCCAGAAGATATGCCAGATAGAATGTCAAATAGAATGTCAGAAGATATGTCAGATAGAATGCCAGAAGATTTGCCAGTAAGAAAATGTATAAATGTCATGGTGGGGATCACACGAAGTAAAGTAATTTGTTTGTATGCTTTTGCATACAGATATACATATATATATATATACATATTATATATATACATAAATATTATATACATTATATATATACGTGTATGTGCGTGTTATGTTTTTTTATTTATATTTTTATGTAAACACATATATATACATATACTTATACTCCCCCCAAAGTAGATGGCTCAATTTCTTGACTTGCGCCGTCTATGTCAAAGGCAAAATGCAGGGGATAGATGGCGCAACTCCATTTCAACAGGTAGGTTGCGCCATGTATGTCCCTAGAAATGACCTATTTTTTGCAATCTTATGCCGTGGTTTGCGCCCATAATGCAGCCTCAACATCAAGCTGCCTTTCAGGGACATAGATGGCGCAAGTCCCACTCATTTGCCAAAACCAGGCTGGGAATGCCCACATAGATGGCGCAAGTCCCTCATACCCCCCGGCATCCCTCAACCGACCTAACCAAAATATGCCACGTAGATGGCGCAAGTCAGGCAAGGGCTTGATGATGAGGATTCAAGCCTGTTTCTAAAAGCAAGTTTACTACATGTCCGATCAATTCTGCTTAATTATATTTCTTGGGCCGTACCTTTTTCCCAATAATCTAAAATGAAATTAAATATCCAATAAGTATGGCACACCTTTACATACCATAAACCCACCATTTCTTATTTCAGGAGGTGGTGTCAGGAGGGAACACATAACTGGTTTAGGGTTTAGGGTTAGACACAACGGGGGTGACAGGCCCTCCGGGTCCACAAGGGGAACTCAGGAGATCTACCTTGAGATAGTCGCTGGGTGGGGGACACAACCAGGGTAGTACAACGGGGTAAACGGGAAATCATACAACGAGAGAAAAGGAGAAATGTCACGTTTATGGTGGGTAAATAAGAAAAAACTGCTTGCGTAAGATATTCAAATTTAAAATTGTGCATATGTGCTTAATAATAGTTCGATTTTTTTATCAGTTGATTCGAATTGATTCGATATTTTAAAACATTCAGTGGTTCATTTTCAAAGTATTTCAATGAAATTTTATTGTAACAGATTTGGATGCGATTTAAGGGACATAGATGGCGCAATTCATTTTTGAACCCATCGATTTTTTTTTGGCGTTTGTATGGGATTTAATGGACATAGATGGCGCAACTCATTTTGTGGATAAAAGATCTAGTTGAATTTGAACGGGATCTACTGCATGGGATGTTTGTTAGCCAGCAGTGGCAGTGGCAGAGTAGCGAAGATTATCTCTCACTTCAGGATACCCTCATATATGCATATATATATAATAATAATATATATATATACAATACAAACATGTGCAATTTACAGTATAAACCAGCAAAATGATAGGAAATATAGTAAATTTAGTTAACATCACTAACTTTCAAACTAAGTCTAGATCGTAGGGGTTCTAGATCGTAGGGGTTTTCAAGGTGACCCTGGTTGTCTCGAAATGGCTTTTTTGAGCAGATTTTGTTTCGAGTGCCTGTGCACACACTAGATCAGCAACATCTTTTGTTGCTTGGCGTTTTTGTTTTGGGAGATTTTTTTTTAAACGTTCACCAACGACAATGTAGAACGAATTAAGACCGGACCCTTTCATTAAAAACACTTATAGTTGTGCGAGAATGAAAATGCACCTGATGTGCAAGAGTAACTTGTGAGACTGGGTTTGGAGATGCCAAGAGCGGCTGCGCACGAACAATAATTAAGTTTTGGTGGTGAACCCTGTAATAACTTTGCGGTGTGGGCCCTGTCAAAACAATTTGAAAACAAGGGTCAAATGTTTCTTGTCAATTTTGTCAATTGTTTTTTGCTCCGCTTCGGTGTTGACATGTGTGTGTGTGTAACATCTTAATAGATGTAAAACTTCTCTCTTTTTCTTCCTTCTGTCCTCTCCCTTTTTAAACCTAGTAGCAGGGGGGTGCAGAGCACAGTGGAGACTGCACCCAACGAAGCTATCCACTTGTGCTGGAAGCAGAGTCTGATCAACTCTGTGTACCTGCAGAATTTGGTTTGAACTGTTGAACAAGCTGTCCTGTTGCTGCACTGTTGTCGCAATCTGGAATCAATGTTGGTCATTTACAATTAGTTCAGCTGCATCAGAACCTTCCTCAGTATTTTCGCCGAACCATGTCGCCGATGTATTTGGATTATTTTGTCAAAACCAGGTCGCCGATGTATTTTTTGATGACGCTCTTGGACATGGAAATCATTCAGGAGAACTTCTATTATTCGTAGGATGCATCGTTAATTTCTTTGTTTCGTATCTAATCTGCATGTTTCAGGATTCAGTTCCTGCCGGATCATATAATGATCCATTCTAATCTAGTGTGATTCCTATGGTGACTCCGACAAGGTGCCATAGGGCCAATTGAGGCAACCCCAGTTGGGGTCAATGTCGACTGACTTGACTTCCGAATTTACACATTTTAATTCAGTAATTCGTTTAATTAAAGTGCAACAGCTGGCCTTACCGTTTTGCACCTTTGACGAAGTCCTGCGGCTCCTGTGGTCCCAGGGATCCCTCGCCACAATGCCTGTCTACCAGAGCGAAAGCGTTCGGAACATTCAGAAACCTCCGTTTTTGCAGCAACTTTTGCAGCGTCATTGCGTCAAGTCACGACATATGATCAGGCAGGCACACGTCTTGCAGGTGTGGTATTCTTTCCTTTTGGTTCTCTGGTGGGGTTAAACATATTGTGCACCTAATTCGATGGAACTTGAAAGCTGTTTTATGCCAATTGGGGCAAGACTTGACCACGGTCCCGGTGCAGGGAAGAATCGCACGACATTTAGGAAATTAGGGACTGAATCCTGTTTTTAATTAATTGTTTTGGTTTTCCTGTCTGTCATCAACTAGTCCCCCATTTGGTCCCTAATTTCCCCGCGTGCCTCTCCGTAATGTGTCGTGGGGTTTAGGTGTGTGGGCTGTTTTGATCAGGTCCGTTTCGCCGTGTAGGTTGGTTCCGGAGGTCCGTCTGTTCCCCTCCCCCCCTGCGCTGTTTTTGGCCGTTTGCCCTTCGTGTGTCCGCTTTTTTCTTCCTCTTGCCTTTCGGGGTTGACCCGGCTCTGGCCGGGTGTGTGTGTGTGTAACATCTTAATAGACATAGATGTAAAACTTCTCTCTTTTTCTTCCTTCTGTCCTCTCCCTTTTTAAACCTAGTAGCAGGGGGGTGCAGAGCACAGTGGAGACTGCACCCAACGAAGCTATCCACTTGTGCTGGAAGCAGAGTCTGATCAACTCTGTGTACCTGCAGAATTTGGTTTGAACTGTTGAACAAGCTGTCCTGTTGCTGCACTGTTGTCGCAATCTGGAATCAATGTTGGTCATTTACAATTAGTTCAGCTGCATCAGAACCTTCCTCAGTATTTTCGCCGAACCATGTCGCCGACAGTATTTTTGATTTTTTGGAGTATTTCGCCGAACCATGTCGCCGATGTATTTGGATTATTTTGTCAAAACCAGGTCGCCGATGTATTTTTTGATGACGCTCTTGGACATGGAAATCACT